AAATAATTAAAATAATAAATTAAATATATTTTTTTCTTTTTTCGTGATTTCCTGCGAAACAAAGCAAAAAGGAGCATATGTCTATAGGACTTTTTTTCTTAGTTTTTTACTCCTCTACACGCTCCCGAAGTTTTGCCATTTAATTTGGAAACACCCTGTATATATCAATCTAAATTAATATAAAATGGAAGTAAAAAATATATCTAAGATCTAGGGGATTACTTCTCGTGAGCAGGAAAGTGGACTGAACTGAGTCAAAAAGTCCTTTACCATTTTGCAATTTTCGCAATACTTTAGGAGATATTAATTTCTAAAGATGATTGAATAAACACGTATCTACGGGGATTATATTTGGAAATTAATATCTCCTAAAGTATTGCAAAAATTGCAAGATGATAAAGGACTTTTCGACTCAATACAGTCCGCTCTACCTGCTTACGAGAGGCGATCCCGTAGGTCTGGGACATCCTGTATATTATGAGAAATGTCTCTCACGCAACACATTGCACATACGAGCGCGCGTGTATTTATTATCTATTTTTATCGAAAATTACTTAAAGCCAATGATTTAATTTAAATAAATGTTTAAAGATTTAAAAAATTTTAAATTCAATGAAAACAGTTTTAATTTATATAAATAATGAAGTTAGTCTATCTCTTAATTCAATCAAATCTATAGTTTTAGTTAAATTTAAAAAATTTACATTTTTATTTAATGTATTGTGTATAATGTGATATAATACAATTAAGGAATATATAATAAATTAACATAGTTTCAGGTATTTGATTTATTATATGTATCCTAATATCAGTCAAATATTAAATACACTATGTATTATTAAACTTTGTCTAAATTAAAAAGTATTGTTTATATAATTATATTGTCTAAATAGCTGAAGATTTTGATGTTTGTCACATTACATAAAAATTTGTAATACATTATAATATGTAAGACTGCAGTTTTTTATAGAACATACTTGAATCCATGCCCACTTTTTCCATGCAATGTTTCCTTAATGGTTCCAGAGCTTCCTTCGTCTCCTCAAGGGACATTCTTTTCTACAGAATTAAAAATAATTTAATAATAAATGGAAAAATGCGAAACACTAAGACGTCTAAATAAATATATAAGTATCTAAATAAATATAAGAGTGTTTAATTCCACACACACACACACACGATTTTTGGGACGTTTCCGATAGTTTAAAGAAAATTAAATTGATGGATTTTTATTTGTTTCATGCAAACTACAATTTGCATTAAAAAATAGAAAAAAAATTTTAATAAAAATTTACCTTGAATTTTTTGAATAGTACCAAGCATTTTTTCATAATATTATAGTGATCTTCAAGACGAATTCAACGTATATATTTTATTGATATTTAATATTAAATTTGTATCTAACATTATTTTAATTAATAATATTTATTAGTTGCATAAATAATATTCAAGATCTTCGAGAAAGAATAATTATAGCTTGTGGAATTTTCGATTCCAATAATGTAAATGATGTTATCCAATATAATATGAAATTTTTCCGAGAAACTTCCTGAGAACGTCCTTAGGACACGTTCAGAAAACATATAAATATCCTCTGAACATCTTTAGAATATTTCTTGGAGATCTGTGTTGCATAAGTGCGCGTAGTAATTTTTGAAAAAAAGCAGAACTTTGTGTTTCAAAATGAGCAAACAGTTTAAACGTTTGCTTATGAATAAGAGAGTCATAGTTCTTTTCTTACTGATGGATATTTATGATTATGTTTATATATGTATCAATAAAATCAATAAAATTATATTGACATTCCCTATATGTATTAAGTTTGTTTTAAAAACCTCTACAATGGTCTGAAAAACAATTGCATTGTGCTATTTAAAAAATTCAAGTTAACTAATTTTTTATTTAAAAAATATTTTTAAATTTTTTTATTGCAAGTTGTAGCTTGCATGAAACAGATGGATACCCCATTTGAATTCTTTAAACTAAATTATCGGAAGTGTCCCAAAAATCGTGTGGACAGTTACGCTAAATATTTTGTATAAATTATAAAATAAATGCATCAATATGAACCTTATTTTTATATAAAATAATTTAAATAAGTTTTTCAAATATTATGAAATGATTTTTTTAGTATCTAATTATCGTTTCTAATTACTAACACATAATAAAATTTGCAGAATTAGTTAAAAAAATGATTTTTACGAATTATTTTGAATAACATATATACTGTATATGTAAATGTTAAATATTAAAAATGTAAGAAATGTCTAATACCAAAAAGTATTTTAACTTTTTTTTTGTCAAATAATAATATCTTTTTCTCATCTTCACACACACACACACACACA